TGCTTCTTACCTTCGGGGTGTTAACTTCATTCAGATTCCGACAAATTTTATGGCTCCTTTTCTAGCAATCATGCACTTATGCTCATTATGTCTCATGCATCAAATTTTTACGTTGCTCGACTTGCAGGTTGATTCTTCTGTTGGCAGCAAAACTGATAAAGTTTGTTTCTTTTGTGTCTTTGATTGAGTGTTTGAATCGGTTTCTTTTAGGTAGGATAGTAGAGAAATTGAAAAAGATAACTTGGAGATTGGTTTCTGCTATGCAAATAATGCAGCAGACTTAATTGAATAAGTAGAGTGATTTTTTTACACAAGAGTATGGTGCATTTCCATCACCCATACTTTCTACAAAAGGTGATTGACAAGAGGCTTTAACAACCATTAAGCCTTACTACTCCAGATTACATCTTAACCCTTCATTTTGGGGTTAAATGATTTAATCTGGAGTGTACACTTGTCACTCACACACTTACACAAACATTTAAAAACAAAACTAGCCGTTGGAGACTAGAACCCTTCATTTTCTTTCTTCTTCTTCGATGCAGATGACATCCTTTTGCTCGGGAGAGTATCTTGCTGCCTTCGACTCCCCGACTCCAGGAGCTGGTTAGCTTCCAACACTCCCTTCTAAACTGCTTCTGGGAGTCAATCCGAGCAAACCCCTCAGGTAATTGAATCTCTCCTTCGGTAGTGCTTTTGTGAATATGTCTGCGATCTGATCTTCTGTGCTGCAATAGATTAGCTTGATTGTGTTGTCTTGCAATGCTTCTCTGATGAAATGATATCTTCTCTTGATGTGTTTTGTTCTCTGATGAAATACTGGGTTTTTAGTCATGGCAATTGCAGAGGTGTTGTCACACAGAAGTGGTGTGGCTTCAACTTGCAATTCGCCAAAATCTTTAAGTATGAACCTTAGCCAAATGGCTTGAGATGTAGCTTCTGATGCACTTACATACTCTGCCTCGGCTGTGGACAGTGCAACACTTTGTTGCTTCACAGAGGCCCATGAAAAAAACCCCTGATCCGAAAGTGAAAGCATAGCCCGATGTGCTGCTTCTACTATCATCCTCACTGCCACCCCAGTCACTGTCACAGAATCCAATTAGAATAGATGACTTTCCCATCTCATATTTGATCCCATAATCAAGAGTTCCTTGCACATATCTTAGCACTCTCTTAGCCGTGCCCATATGTATCTTGCTAGGATTCTGCATAAACCTAGAAAGTAGGCTTGCTGAGAACATCAGATCCGGCCTTGTTGCAGTTAGATACAATAGACTGCCAACAATGCTTTTATAGAGACTAGCATCTGCAGGTTCACTTCCATCCTCCTTCTTGAGCTTCTCATTTGCAATTAAGGGTGTAGAAACTGGTTTGCAACCTTTCAAACCAAACTTTTCAAGCAAAGTTTCAGCATACTTCTTTTTGATGAATAAAGATGCTACTTGCTTTTTGAATTACCCCAATGCCAAGAAAATGATGCAAGAGGCCTAGGTCAGTCATCTCGTACCTCTTCATCATTTCTTCCTTGAACTCTTCCATCATTGCAGCATCATTTCCAGTGTAGACAACATCATCCACATAGATTGAGACAATGAGTGTCTTGTTGTTGCTTTCTGTCTTGGTGTAGAGTGTAGCTTCACTAGGACTTTTCTGAAATCCTTTCTCAATGAAATATGAATCAATCTCACTGTACCAAGCTCTTGGAGCTTGTTTTAGGCCATAAAGAGCCTTCCTCAACTTGTACACTTTTTTTCTGGAAACTCTTGATTTGTGAACCCTTGAGGTTGTTCCACAAACACTTCCTCCTCTAGCACTCCATTTAGAAATGCAGATTTAACATCCAATTGATGCAGCTTCCAACCCTTCTTGGCTGCTAGTGCTATCAAGGTCCTTATGGTGTCTAACCTTGCTACTGGAGCAAAGGTTTCATTGAAGTCTACACCAGGTTTCTGTGAGTAACCTTTGGCCACTAACCTGGCCTTGTTCTTTTGCACAGAACCATCTAGATTTAGCTTCACTTTGTACACCCATTTTACACCAATCACAGGCTTCTCACTTGGTCGATTTACAAGTTCCCAAGTGTCATTCTTTTTCTATCATTTCAAGCTCTTCCTTCATTGCTTTCTTTCTTCCAAGCTTTGTCTTTCTCAGCTTCTTCATACGTTTCTGGTTCTACTACACAGTAATTACATGTAGCATAAATCTCATCCAGATTTCTCAATCTTACTGGAGTTGAACTAGGAGTTGTTGTCTGTGATTGACTTGATTGTGGACTCATAGTAGCTTGCTGTGGGGTCCCTTGTATGTCACCATTATCTGTGACTTCTTCTTGAACTGAGGTCTCTATAGGCTCCCTTGTTTGCCTTTTGTTTAGGTCAATTTTGTAGAGAGACACTGTCCTTTTCCTCTACCATTGTATCCCAGTTCCACATTGAGTCTTCATCAAAGATAACATCCCTTGATAGGATTATCCTTTGAGTCAATACATTATAAACTCTGTATCCTTTCTCACTGGTACCATAGCCTACAAAAACACCTTTGTTACTTGATTTCTCCAACTTGTGCCTTAGTTGATGAGGGATGAGATTGTAGCATACTGAGCCAAACACTCTCAGATGCTTCACAGAAGGCTTCCTTCCACTGAACACTTCAAATGGAGTCTTCTTCTCCAATGCCTTAGTAGGACACCTATTCAATAGATACACTGAGGTGTTCACAGCTTCACCCCAAAATTTATAAGGCATGTTCTTCTCATGCATCATAGACTTAGCCATTTCGACTATAGTCCTATTCTTCCTTTCTGCAATCCCATTCTGTTGTGGTGTATATGCCACAGTGAGTTGCTTCTCCAACCCTACATCTTCACAAAAATACATTGAACTCATGTGAGGTGTACTCACCACCCCTATCACTTCTTAGTCTTTTGATTTGGTATCCACTTTGCAATTCCACCATTGCCTTAAACTTCTTGAATATTGTGAATACCTCAGACTTGAACCTCATGAAATACACCCAACACATCCGTGAATAATCATCAATGAAGGTTAGGAAATACCTGTTTCCACTGATTGTTGTTGTTCTCATTGGTCCACACACATCTGAGTGAATCAATTCGAGTGGCTTTGTTGCCCTCCAAGCCTTTCCAGCTTCAAATGAATCTCTGTGATGCTTGCCAAACACACACCCTTCACAGATTTCATTGCATTGATCCATTTTTGGTATACCTTGCACCATTTCATCCTTTTGCAGATTTTGTAAGCTTGTCATGTTTAAATGACCAAGTCTCTTGTGCCATAGTTTCATAGAACTTGTCACACTTGCTTTCTTTGCCACTTCTTCTAAGTACTTCAGTACAAGTGGAAAGCTTCTGTTTTTCACTTCCACTTTGGTCACCAAGTTTGATAGGGATCTGTCATCATAGATCTCAACCACAGTCCCCCCAAAGAGTAGGAAATAGCCATGCTCCATCATTTGACCCACACTAAGTAGATTTTCATCCAATCCAGGCACTAGCATCACCTCCCTTATACATCTTCTTCCTTTCTTGGTGTTGATAACCAGAGTTCCTCTTCCAGTGGCTTTTGACAATGTTTCCATCACCCATTTTCACTTTTCCAGTGAAGTTTGTGTCGATGTCAATAAGTAAAGACTCATGTGCAGTCATGTGGTTGCTGCAGCCACTGTCAATGTACCACACTTCATTGTTTCTCTCCATTTTTGCATTGAAAGCACAGAACACATTTGCTTCTTCTTCCACTTGATTTGCACAGTTTACTTGTTGCACATTCTTTGATCTGCAGTCCTTCATAATGTGCCCAAACCTGTTGCATTTGTGGCATCTAGGCTTGTCCTTGAACCAACACACTCTCCAAGGTGGAATTTATCACAGTGCCTACATTGCTGCTTGGTTCTTGGACCTACATTGGTGTTGCTGCCTTTGGTTAGGTCTTGAGTTGTGATACCCTTTTCCTTCCCATTTCTTGCTTTTGCCCTTCCACTGTGGTTTCTGATTGCTTGCACTGGCTTGACTGCTAGATCCAACATTGAGTGTTTGAAAGGCTTTCTCAGGTGCAGAGTCAGCATGCCTCTCGAGCCTTTGATCAAAAGCTCTTAAGGATGCCATCACCTCTTGTACACTGAGTGTTTCAGTGTCTTTGGTTTCTTCTATAACACTCACTATTGAATCATAGGGTTTAGTCAAACTAATCAACAGTTTTTGGACAATTCTTTCATTAGGCAGTTCCTCACCATATGTTTTCATCTTGTTTACAACATCAAACAGCCTAGTGAAGTAGTCTTTTAACAGCTCATTTTCCCTCATTCTTGTATACTCAAAATCTCTTCTAAGGGACTGAAGTTTTACCTTTCTAACTTTGGTGTCTCCTCTGTATTCTTGCTGTAAAACTTCCCAAGCTCCCTTTGCAGTCTCTTCATTTGCTATCCTCGGAAAAATGGTGTCTGAGACAGCACCTTGAATGATTCCAAGTGCTCTAGCATCCTCCATCCGATTCTGCTTCAGTGTTTTGAGTTGTGTTTCTGTGAGATCCTCCTCTAGAGCATCGATCTCCATCTCAGGTAGTTCATACCCATGTTGAACCATATCCCATAGATCATAGGATTTGAAAATGGTTGTCATTCTTATTCTCCAAAAATCATAATTCTCCCCATCAAAGACTGGAGCTTTTAGCTCACTGCTACTGCTGGATCCTTTCATTTCCAGAATTGTTTGTTGATTATTGTTATAGAAGACACTACGTTGGTGCTCCCAAAGATCTTATCTTGCACAGATTACGCCCCGAAAGTTGTAAGATCAATAACAAAGCTCTGAGGCCATGATAAAGTTTGTTTCTTTTGTGTCTTTGATTGAGTGTTTGAATCGGTTTCTTTTAGGTAGGATAGTAGAGAAATTGAAAAAGATAACTTGGAGATTGGTTTCTGCTATGCAAATAATGCAGCAGACTTAATTGAATAAGTAGAGTGATTTTTTACACAAGAGTATGGTGCATTTCCATCACCCATACTTTCTACAAAAGGTGATTGACAAGAGGCTTTAACAACCATTAAGCCTTACTACTCCAGATTACATCTTAACCCTTCATTTTGGGGTTAAATGATTTAATCTGGAGTGTACACTTGTCACTCACACACTTACACAAACATTTAAAAACAAAACTAGCCGTTGGAGACTAGAACCCTTCATTTTCTTTCTTCTTCTTCGATGCAGATGACATCCTTTTGCTCGGGAGTATCTTGCTGCCTTCGACTCCCCGACTCCAGGAGCTGGTTAGCTTCCAACAAAAACTGCTATAAACCACTCTCTTGGGAAGAACTTGATCGGTTCTTTTTACCAACCTCGGTGTACGCTTATTGACACAGACACATTGAACACATTACCAGATCGGGAACTGGCATCAGGGCTTGCGGAGGCCATTAAGTGTGGGCTTGTTAGAGATGCAGATTTCTTTGAAGGGCAGGAGAGGAATATTCAGGCAATAATGGCAAGGTATGAAATTTACACCGAGAGTAAGTAAGTAACAGCAAAAAAGTTTCTGGAGCCAGCACCATGCTGCATATTCCTTTCAATTCATGTTCTATTTCACATGATAAATGTTACGGGACATCAAATTAAGAGAGAGTCTTGTCACTGCCAGTGGTTATGACTTTAAGGCTGTAACAATGTCGCCATTTTATCTTTTCTAGTCTGTTGAAGCTTCGTGAATAATCTCGTTCCTGCACAGGATGCATATTAGGTTAGTTACATTGAGTATAGTTGGTGCATGCAGGGATCCAGCGGCATTGGCTTATGCTATAAAGCGGTCGTGTGAAATCAAGGCTGAGCTTGTCCTTGGACGAGAATGAAAGTGGAGTGAGGGCTATACTGAATTTGGGTCATACATTTGGTCATATGAGTTTTTGTTTTGTACAATTAGGTGTTGAAAGCCTATGTACTTTGACAAGTTATCTTCGCCTTTTGTTATATTCTGTTAAATCCCCTATCTAATTAAATATTTCGGATGAAATGCGATGTATTTTCAGGCAAAAGAAACTGGGGTCGGCAATGGGAACTGGCTCCATGGAGAAGCTGTTGCAGCTGGCACGGTAAGACATTTATGCATGTACACTTCTTTCCCTTACAAAATTATTCCTCAATGTTTTAAGAGCTTGTGTGCTAGGTGACCGCCTTGTCTGGATTGATGATGCACTCGTGAAGCGAACTACCAACATTTTTAAGCAGTCCAAGTTACCTATTGCACCTGCTGAATCTGTGATGATCGAGATGTTCAGACCTGTAATGGCGGTAAGAGAATGGCAGTGTAAGTTCATAGAAGCTCAGTAACTTCTTTGCTTGTTTGTTAATGCATCCGTCTTCTTTCGGCATGGCAGGTTGATAAGAAGGTAGCTGATGGGTTACTAAGGCTCAGACCTTCAGAAAGGTCCTTTGGGAAACTGTGTCTTCACCGGCGAATATGATAGAAAGGCCCTCGACGAAACACTCCATGCATTTTGGAAGTGCTGATGATCCGCACTAGATGTGTGCTAGTTCCTCACCTGCGTTTCGTGGTTTTTGTATTTTAGTCGTCCACTTGTCCGTGTACTTTGCCCCTATGTTTTAGATGCCCTTAGCTTCCCCTAAATTTATTGGCAGACCAAGTTGTAATTTTAGAAACTGTTGTATTTACAGTAAGCATGGGAAACCATTTATTCAACTCTTGCTTCTTTTATGGAAATCGTGAATGTAATATATGCAAGTTCTGAGAAAGACTTGGCTCCTCAAGGACCTCCTCTCTAAAATACCTCAAGACCCTATATATCCACAGTATTTTGTGCTTCTGATCGGAATCACTCATACTATGTAAAGATTATCTATACAAAAATTAATTAAAACTAAGGTTGTTTAGTCATGGGAATGTATAAAAATAGATAAACGGATTGGGTAAAAGAATTACGAACCGTCTATCTATTTGTTACAGGTGATCAACTAAACGATCTTAGTTTTATTGATGTTTTACAAAGTAGATCTTTACATGGTGATTTATAATATGAACGATTTTGATCGTAAGCATATAGTTTGTGAGTAGGCCACAAAGTATTTTGAGAAGGAACTCTTTAACCTTAAGAAGCCAAGCTCTTCTCTTCTTTTCTAGTTCCAATTTTTCAAGGAACTCCTTAACCTTAAACAACACTCAACATCCCGGTTTTTAACATTATGTCACGTGATTTAAGTTTTCCATATAGCATTGCATGATTTGGTTGGAGCACCTTTACCTTGACGTCATGAAAGTATTTTGATCTCAGCTTTTCATCGAATCACTTAGAAATAGCCACGACCATTATTTTTTTTTTCGTTTCTTTTTATACCTCTTATCAGCCAAATGGAGAAGAACTTACATGCAACTGGAATTTCGAAGTAGTTTAAATCTCAAACCAATTAGTCAATGCCTTATAAATAAGTTAAAATACATAACCATGTGGGACAAACTCAAATCAATGACACCCTTATCGTCTGGGTTGCATATAAGCTTTTCTATGCTAGATGAGTAGTTTTGGCCTTTTTCTTTCCAGCCTTGCAATTCAAATTCCAAAATTGGATAAACATTGCTGCCCTGTACTTTTAAGGTGGCAATGCAACTGTTCCATAATGTCATTGGAGGAGGACAGACAGCTTTGGCATCGCCAGAAGATCTTCTGTCCAATCTGCCGATTCTGCCCTAATCATATTTAATTCTTCCCCCTCGTAATCCCTCCTAATCTCCTATCATTCCCTCTCATTCTCTCTCACACTTTCCTCTCTGTTTTGCTCTTTCTATAAAAAAAAAGTCAACACAATTGATATAACTTAATTATAACCGTTTAAATAGGAGGAGAGGGGAGAGAAGGGAGATTGAGAGAAAAATTAGGAGGGAAGAGAACTCTACTCCGATTTTACAACGTAAGTGGATGTTTCAAAATATATACTTTTCCTTAAAATTTCAATATTTAATATCAATTTGGTCGCAATTGATAAATAATCCGACGAATAAAGCCTCCTATTCAGTTTATTGCGTCTTGATTTTAAACTATTTTCATACTTTATGATCGATGTAGTTTAAAATAATAATAACGTTTGTAATAAAAATCTCAAATTGCCCAAAAAGCCTTTCAGACCAAATCCATTAGGCCTCCAAACTTTCCATAATCTTAGTTAATTATCTTGTACCTCAAGAAATTAATAATTTTTCATGGAATTATTCTTGTATTGTGGGTTTGATGTGGTTGCTGTCATGTAAATTATACTCTATCAAATTCCAACCACCTCTTCTACCACACATTCATTGGCAAGCATAAGTTGGTACGGTAGTTTTCATCTAATATATCAATATTTAAAGCACATGTTAAGATACGAGTATAACGTTATATCGTGTGATAGTATTATAGTACCATACAATAATTTCACATGTTAGTATCGCTCAAATCAAGTACAGTTAGGTTAAGGCCAAAATAATCGTCAACTAATTGACAATTAGAACATATCACCATCATTGTGATCTAATAAACTAAAAGGACGGCCCCAAGCCAACAAGGCTCTTTGCAAAGCAAGGGTTGCAGGAGAAACATCTAATATGCAGCCTTACCTTTACGTTGCAATGAAGTTATTTCCACGATTCGAACTAGTGATTTTTTTGTTACAAAAGAGCAACCTTTCCGTTGACTAAGACTCACTCTGATCCCATAAATAAAAAAGAAAAAAAATTATGCATAGCACAAAAATAACTCTTCTTGAAAACAAGAATCCAATTAAAAATCCATGAGACTAGATGTGAAAGGATTCTTATCTATTTATGATTATCTCTACTAATCATCCTCATCAAACTTGGGTTGTGATTATTTCTTTGTCACGAATTATTGGGAAAGATTGACATGATGATAACATAACATGTCAGAATTTGCAAAAACACTACTATGCGGACAATTAGACTCTTATGTACGAATATACCAAGCGAGCCAGGTTTCTTTCGCATACATCTGATGTTTTATATCGTGTCATACTTTGTATCTGGAATACAAACCAAAATAAGAATCTCCAACTAATTAGCCATAACGACAATCCAGCAACATAACACGTCAAACTCTCCAAGGCCAACAACATAAACAAAAATTGTGGAACAATTCCACGTGGATAGTAGCGAACCAATCCCGAATTACCTTAAATTGATAATCGATTTCCAAATTAAAGGGGTAAAAATTAAAATCACACAGACAAGACTTAAGATCACAACAAGAAAAATAAATCCCTTTGTTTCATTTCACTTTTCATCCCCACCAACCTCAAAAATCTTTTGAAAAAAAAACCTCAAAAATCCGACCCACACACATATAACCGGACCCAACTTCCTCGCGATTAGAGCGCAGAAAGAAAGAAAAACAGAGAGGAGAGAGAAAGAGGGGAGAGAGAGACAGAGGAGAGAGAGAATCTCAGTCACAGACTCGCAGCTAAGTTGGAGAGTTTGTTGCTCAACGAACGCTTCAACGGCAAATAAAATTCGCGGCCAAAAAAATAGTCCGCCATTTTTGTCTCGCTATCTCTCCTCTTTTCTCTTCCGTGGAGCTTCCAGACCCCCGCACAAGACCCACATTCGCCCATTTTTCTCCTTCCAATTTTCCCCTTCCGAACTCCCCCAATCTTTTTCTTCTCTTTTCTCTCTCGATTGCCCCCCCCATTTNGCTCTTC